CCTTGCGTAATTGGCTGGGCAACTCACTATTTCGGAATGCCCATTTCGTATCCAAAAGGCGGCCCTCCGCCAGGTCTGCCACCAGTGGCAGAAGCGTGAAGCAGCAGTTGAGGCCGCAAAGCCTTGGGACCATACTAACACCAGCAATCGTTGCTCAAAGTTTAAGGAACAGAATCTCTGTCGCCCTGGGAGCTTCAACTGTCCAGCAGCTCGCCGAAACGCTTCTAGTCGCGAAAGGCCGCTGCCATGTTACCACTTTTTGCCGCATGCGGAAGCAAGAGCAATCAAGGCTGAAGATTATGAAGGCCAACATTAAGCTGTCAAGCACCACCTGCAGTTAAGGAGAGAGGCATGCCGTAGACCAGAGCATACGCTGGCATCTCCTGCCGGGTAGTCGGCACTCAATGCAGGCAATAATTACGAGAGATACAAATCCTGCTTGCGATGCATCGAGTATGGACAGAGCCGCAGATCTTGCCGCCCTTCAAATCGATTTCAAATGCTGCATAAGTAATGGAGCCTCGTCGAACTAAACTGTGCACTGTAGAGTCCACACCTGCATGTCATCGCGGATCATCCGCCACCCGAAAAGAAGTAGTAGGCCTGCCAGGACACCAGGTGACAGCCGGAGCGGACCTAGTGCTATGAGATCTTGAGCGTGACTTGCATGAGCCACGATGTCATGCGAGGCACGTGAAGTTTGCTTTGCAGCAGGCTCTCGCCAACCAAAAGGCTTCAGCACAGCAGCCATCACCGGCTTGGCCGGAAACCAGAGAAAGTGCTGATGCAAAGCCTGCCTGAGAGAACAACGGCGACAACGTCAAGCGTCAAGATCTGCAAGACAACCACCTCGCAGTTGCTTTCTCTGATGTGCAGTCTCCTTTGGATATCAGGGCCCTGGAATGAGTGAAGGCATGGTGGGATCTAACATCCGGCTCTCCAGCTCAGTCCGGAGCTACAGCCACCGCAGCAACTTCACGCATTTGAAGTACAATGCTGGGCTAAAGCGCATACTCTATGAATTGTTTTGGCAAGTACCCTGTAGCCCCTGAGCCTGCATATCGCAACATACCCACAGGTTACTGGCAAGTTTTTGCTGAGGCAGGTGCAATGGTTAACAGCGCCATCAGGGACAGCCATTTCCATCGACTGGGCGGTGGGGCAGAGCAGGCGTCAGAAGTCTGCGAAGTTTCTCTGTGATCTCGTCACTGTGTAGATGCAGTGGAATGCTTTGGTGCCTACAAGCACTACACCAGCACTGCAGGTATCTTGCAACACCAAGTGCAGACAGTGCATTATTGCCTTTCCTCTCAATTCTATCAATGGCTGGAAGCAATGCGATTAGCAGGCCCAGGATACCCGATAAATGCAAAACAGCTCATCATGCAAGCCACGTGGAATGTCCCAATGACGCAGACCTGCAACATGTAACAAGAACCCCAACAGCATCACAACGTACATTCGATAGCTTTACTTGACGTCTAGGCTGGTTCTTCACAGCTGCTCCGCAAGCAGTTCTTCTGGAGGTGGTGACCGGCGGAGTTCGGCAAGGAAAAGCATAGCGCAGGCATAGAAGCCTAGAAGCCGTGCGGGTTCTGTTGACTCTCTCCGAACGTTGTTTCCTGCATCATCCCATTGGTAGCAGCACTCCGTAGGACACGGACCCGGCTTCCTTAACAATTACTGCCCCATCTATGTTTTACTTAAACCGACCACAAACCATTCCATAGAACTGTGGCAAAGAACAGCTGCAGGTGTTTCCCTGCAAGTGAAACGGTTCAGTCTAGGATCCTGGAGCCGATAACAAAGTCCACGGAGTTCACAACAGACACTGGTTTTGCCACTGTCTTTCAACTGCAGCTGTGGCCTGCTTGCAAAGCGGCCTGCAAGGTAGGAAGTAGAGGCAACAAACATCGCCGGGCTCGCTGAAGGGCAGCAGCTGCAGCACCCCCAAGCAGCCTTTGTGGAGCATTGCAGCCAGGAGCAAGGCTTCGACGACGATGTCGTGTGTGCTTTCTTAACCTTGCATAAAAACTACTGAGTACTGTTTAAATGACTTTTCTTGAACGTGGTCGAAACGGTGTGCACACTCGGGCCCCGCTTCGTTTGTAAGAGAAAAGCATTGGTTGGCTCAACCGTAGTCAACATCTAACAAATGTGACAAAGCATGGGGCAAATGCAATAGCGCAGACTAATACGGCAGTCTCCTGCAGCCGCTTCGTGAAGGGTCTAGACTCTAGACTAGACAGGAACATATTTTTTTTGCCTCCCGCCTGGCTAGGACAAACCTACGATGCAGGGTCAGACAACTGCAAAACGACGACGTGTGCTAGTTGCTCAGCAACGGTAGCAAGTGCAACGGGAAGGGAGCAGACAGGAACATATTCGGGGAGTTGTAATATGCACCGAGTTATGAAAGCAGCACCGTGGCATCCGCGGTGTGCAGCTCATGTCTGCGCTTGCGTTCTTCGGTTGCAACATTGAGATATTCTGCTTCGGATCTATCAGTGTCGATTGTATCACTGTAGCCACCCCCCCATTATGATTATTAATACCAGTAAGACTCCGACTTCTCTGCTCGTAGAGAAGATTCCCGTCGTCCAACTAAACGATGGAGCCAGTGCCTTCAGTTTCGACAGCCGTGATATTCTGAACCTCGTGGAGAAATGACGCAAAAGCCCTTACAACGGCTGGTGCTCTCGTTGTTTCCCCTTTTCCGATGCGCCTCTCTCTTTTCGTCTGATGGACATAATCCCCCATTGTGATGGTCTTGCTCCTTTTTGGGATTCTCTCTTGCTTTGCAGACCGGCACTTCACACATCCAAGGACATCGTGGAACGAAGGAGGCATGAAGCTGCCAAGAAAATCTGCGAGACTCTTCCGCCCTGCTGTGCCTCCACCAGAGGACTCGCCCCAACATGGCAATCCACCTTCTAATATGAGTAGGCCGGAAAGACATGATGGTGATGCCTGCATGCGTGCAAGTGAGCTGCGGACAGCAAGAGACAAGCTTGTCGTCCCTGGCATGAGCTTGCGTCGGGGCCGGGCCGTTGTGTGTTGAGGTTGCTCAGCAAGCTGATGTGCAGCATCCAGCTAAGCTTGAGAAAAAGCTCCGCACATTGCAAGCGGACAAGTGATGCTCGGTGAGAGCTTGCTCTAAGCTGTACCTTCTGAATTCAAATTTCAGAAGTCTTTCCAGGCACATGCACTCATACGTCACTCCGATGTTTTATAAGAACCCCGACAGCACCACAGCAGTTCAGCAATAACCACGCATCTCTTATCTCCGAAGATGCAACTACAACTTTCCACAGCTTGCCAGCGCCTTTCAGCCTGCTCTTTCTGCGCCAAATGCCACGCAGGTAAATCCCAGAACCCTTGCGATCATTCTCAAAGACGACGAGGGATTCTAAGTGCGCAGGGCAGCAGAGCAGCTTGAGGATGGAACCACGCTGGCACAGGTTTGCTGATCTCGGCTCATCGAAACGAAAGGTCTTTTCTGACATGCAGCCGCAGCATGACCGCCAGGTTCCAGGACCAGAAGTTTGGAACTGCCGAAAACATACTCGACGTTGTGACTACTGTAGCTGTTTCGGGGTCGCAGTAAGATGGAGATCGTAATGTGGATGCACATGGGATGCACGCAGACTTCTTCTTCTCCCTCTGCAAGACACGAAGAACTAAGATGAAGTCCTTACTTGGGAAAGACCACGGACCCGACATGAACATCATCCGGCAATTCCAGAAATGGCCTGCCTGCCTGGACAGGAAGAGACATGCTGCGGGGAGCTTCAAACCTTAAAAGCCAAGGCAACGCGCCCTTCCTCAAAGTCTGGGAATCCGGACTAGGAGGGATCACGTTCCTGGCTCTACGCGTCCTTTTCTGCCTTGATTCATCTGGCGGACAACTCAGCTGGAATGGGCCAGATGTTGCTGGGCACGCTGTGTAACACAGGTGTCTACCCACCAGCATGAGGCAGTGAGCACCGTTGTGGGCAGAAGTGAGCTGCACAAGAGAGATTTATTTGCAACACTGAGCTCCAACCAGAACGAAAATTGTTCACGCTTCATTGGCTGCTTGTGGTAGTGTTGTTCCTGTACCAACATGATCGAAGACCAGCAACTCACACAAGACTGCTGTCGGGTCCTTACACTGTATTCGATCGATTCGATATCCGGTGCACCCTCTGCGTCTACGGGTGCTGTGCACACTGCCCACTACTCCACACCTCTCCTTTCTGAACATGTGGCGTGCCAACAACTCGAAACGACCGCAAAGGGTCAAGTGAAACGCAAGCAAAGGCTGTGCCTGAAAGCCGGGGCAGAATGAATCGCAGGCGACAACTTCCAGACTTCTTGCAGCTTCGACTTAAACCTATGCCTCATGAAGGGTACTGCAGAAGCAATTGGGCCACACCAAGAAGCTTCGGAGCGTAATTGATGGTACTTGTGACGGCAGGTTTTGTAAAACCCTAGTCACAGTCCTAATCGAATCTAATTCTAGGCCGTACAAGTACTGCCAGCTTCAACTCTTGACCGGATTTACGCCACATCCGAAAGATTTGAAGGGATCGTGCGGGCACAGCGCGGGGAGTCCAGCGTCTCCGGCACGGAGGCTTTCCTTACAAGTTTTGGTGAGGGTTTCGATCTGTCTAGAGAATCCACAAGGACCTTGTGAGCTTGTGGCTTGCAGCTAATGCCTTGTCTAATGCATGCACAGTCTTTCAAGAGGAACAGTTCCATGCCAGGCCACGAAGACCCGAATCCCTGGTCGATGGTCCACTGGACTGTCATTGGCAAGCCCAGAGATCGCCGAACTTTGAACTCCAACACCTCTGGCAAAGTCCAACGCTGTTCACCCACGTCTCAACTTCTAGACTTTGCTCCTGACCTGAAACAACGCACGCATTTAGCCGCACTTATCTCAACATCGAGCCCGATCCTAGGACACCAGTTGGCCTCAAAATGTTGCACCAGTTGCCCTCAACATTATCAACCCAACACCTGGCAGACCTAACACAACTGGCTCATGGATTGACACTGGATTGACATGGGCTACTAGTATCCTCTGCTTCTTAGGCACAGGATGGCCCTTGAGGGCTCCATCCTCCAAGAGCCCGGAAGCCTGGACTCTGTTGGCCTCGGCCTCCTCCGTCCTGGGACCCGGGACCCAACTCGAACTCCACATGTCTCTCAACTGTCAGAATACGGTAGAGAAGTCGACCCGGATTGAGGTTACTTGAGGTTTCCAACCAGAACGCCTCAATTATGTCTTAGAGTTGACGCATTATGGACTGCTGCCCGCTGTTTCACTGCGGCGAGACTTCCTGCAACAAGGGTGCGAACCAGAGATTGAAGAATCAGTGGAGAGTGAACGTGCGTGAGACGTGATATAATGCAAGAGAAGTTTTTACTGCTGCTTGTGTGGGTAGTGGGCGTGCTTGTGTAGTTGGACCTCACGGGCCTACAGTGAACTGTGAAGACAGTGAATGGTCTCATGGAGTCGTGAAGTGATAATTCAATGGGTGGTGATGACGGCAATCGGCTGCATTTTGCATTGAATTGAAGTGTGCCGTGGCCGGTGGCTATATGATGTGCGACTATTCATGGCTGGCCTTGGAACATGTTGCCTCCAGCGTGGCTGGGACGAGCCCGCATACAGGGTGGTCCGAGTGCTGAGTGCACGTCGGTACTGCTTACGGAGGTGCAAACCCCCTTTGAACATGTTGCTTAGGTTTTCGACTCTTGCGCCTTTGTCGGGTTCTTGCCAAGCAGGCTTTCTTTTATTATCTGGACCGGCCAGGCCGATGACAATCATGATGATGGTTCTGCGGGGTCAGGGCGGCTACACCATCCGCTTTCACTTGGATGCTCCATGATTCGTGTTCCCCCGGCGGGCACCTTACATCTCGGCGCTGCAGCAGCTGCACGAGTTCACGTCGTTTGCGCGCCTGGGGTGCTTGCATAGAGCATGTGGAGGGCTTGCCTTGCGGTGGCTACGCTGACCAGCTGCCCAATCTGTCGACCCCGGCCTCCTCTATACTATCTACAGCGTGACCCTCAAAAGTCAAACCAAACTCTCTTTCCGAAGCCGGCGCGCCTGCTCGAGGTTCTCGGTAAATCCAGCCAGGAAGTCCTGAGAAGCAGATGCACAGAAGGCACCTGCCAGGCTCGTGTGAAATCCGCTCGAAGCAGTCCTCCAAAGCAACCATCGTCGCGTTGTTGAGGAATTCAACAGTGTCGGAATGCTGGAGAAACTCCTCGAGCTCATGCCGCGACTCCTGGCCACCAGGAACGCCGTGTTCTCAACAAAGAGGCGCACTCGACCGCACATCTATAAGTATATACTGCTTGGTGGGAAGCTATCTCGTTGGCGCGGCGCTGAAAAAACCACGTTACCCATACCGCACAGATGCGCAAAGGGAAAAATTCCATCTATACTATCAACTTGAAGAAGCTTCAAGCTCACCCTTCCTGGGCCCTGCCCAATTTTACAGCGCGAAGGTCGCAGCTGAATTTCCGGGATATCGACTGGTTGAAGTTCAGCCCAGCTCCTGGCTGAGAGTCCAGGAGCCGAGCATTGCACGGAAGCGCGTCTCAAAGCAGGATTTCCTCTGGCAGTTTCTTTCCTCGCGTGGAGCAAGCCATGGAGCAGGAAAATCCGGAGCCAAAGGTTGGAGACTCGATTGCTCACCAAGGTGCAAAGCTGGCCATGGAGGGTTTGCCTCTTCTCAACATGGCCTGGCTCTCCCAGATCCTCGTCAGGACATCCAGTTCTCCCAGCACAATCTCCTGAGCGGGTGTACATGTACTTAGAGACTTATGTCGCGTGTCTCCTTCTGGCAGCTTCTCTAGCGACTCCAGTGCACGTGCAGAGATCCTGGTCACTTTCATGCAAGCTGTAGCGAACCCTTCTTTCCTCGAGATGCCGTGGATCTGAAGAGCTCGCTTACACATGCTGCGATTAAAAACCTTCCACTTCAATCCGGGGCAAAGGGAGCTTGTCAAGCCCCCTGCGCAGAGAGGGGCGCCCCTGTTGTGAGGCTTTGTAGTCTCCCCAGATACTTTGCTTAGGGTTCGCCTGGTCTTGAAAAGTTGTGAAATAGAGGTTCGCACCTGCCTTAAGTAAAAACCGCCAGAACCGAACGGTTGCCGCAGGGACTGGAGACAGCAAATCAGAAGGCCAGTGGGGCGACGAGATGTGACGAATAAGTACTTGTTCGAAGAATAGACATGCTTGTCAGTGGCCTAGACACATTCAGAATTTGTTGAGGAAACTAGATCCCACAATTGGGACAAGGTGCCGCCGACCCATGTAGCCGTGACATCAAGTCCTCTGTTGGGCGGCAGGGCACGCTGCGTAGGATCATGTGCTGCATATGCTCTGTCTCAGCATTCTCTTGACCCCTTTTGGCGAATCACTACAACACAGTCCTCTGCAGAATCCTTCAAGACTTTCTCTGCAACTTGCTACAAGTAATGAGAAGCTTGTGGAACCCCACCTGAACAGAATACGACACAAAGTTTGGTTTGCTGCTGCGCAACTCCACGCAGCCCAGGTCATCCGCAATTCAGATTGCTTGCGATAAAGACTGTCTCCCAATCTTTGAATGCCGTAAGTAGCTAATAATTAAATCGCAACAGTCAAGCCCTAAACATCGTCAGACACCCTGTGAGGCCAGCAGAAAAGAAGAAGAAGAAGAAGACTCGGGGCCCCGCCGTCTCCCCGGCCAGCTCTCGCAAAGCGCTTTGAAGCTCGATGTCCGTGCCACCGGCTGCCTCCCGCTTGTGCCGAAGACTTCGGGACTCGGGAAGGAGCTGCTAAACTTGAGTTGCATTATGCCTGAGATCTTCCGAGTGTTTGTGGGGTCGGAGGGTGCGACTGGTGAATTCTTGCAGGACAACCCCATTCTGCGATGATTGTGACCGTGTAGTTCCAAATAGGCTTCAGATGTATGTCGAAGTCTTTCGTGAGGGTATGCAGCCCAGCACTCAGGGCTTGCGTCCCGGCTTCCGACAGGGAGCTGAAGAAAGGGCCTCCAGACTGGCGGAGTCATCCGGCTGCTCGCAGTCTATGCTCTTCTCAGAGAGCTTCTTTGAGCTCAGCTCCGTGGTGCGGCCTCGACGCTGAGGGCTGAAGCTGCCAGGTCAGACTGCCGATCAGAATGCCATGTCTTGTGTGCAGCCGGATGGTCCGCGAAAGGAGCTCCGATCCAAGTCTATGGCACGTTCAGGCTCCTGAGCTTTAGCTTTGTAGTGATATCCTCGAATCTGCCGAGGCTCTCGTTGCAGCCTGACCCAGCTCCAGATCTGCAGCGCTGTCGAAGCCCTCCTGGCCAAGACAATGTCTGGATGGAATCAAAGGAAGTCGTCGCGAACATGGTGGCATCATGAAGCGGCAATGATACAAACATCGTCCTTAGCGTCTCTGCATCAAAGAGCACTATGGGCAGCAGTGCCGAGTACGAGAACAGCCATATTAAGCTTGGAGCCTGCTCCTTTCTGACATTGATCTGGCTTTGCCAGTTGAGAGGCTGCCGGCGTAGACAGAGGTTGAACACCCGGAATGGACCAGCACGCAGCGAAAGGAGAAACCACCTTCCCAAGGACAGGACACCATCACTCAGGAAGACATCTATTGGAGCTCTCTTCCACATCCAACTCACCAACGCCCCCTCGTAGCTGCCAAATGCATGGATCGCCTGCGGTTTTCGCTGGCGCCACCAGCTGATGCTGTGCCCATGGACAGCTGCAATGAGGGCTCGGCTCGCGCGGCCGTGGGCTATGAACTGTCATTGAACCCTGGGGCCTTCGAAGTGTCTTCTGCTCCCTGGGAAGGTTCGGAAGGTTTGACTGCTCGCGACTCCACTTGAGGCTCGGCTCAGGGGCGCAGCGCAAAGTGCACAGCACCGGGGGCAGAACCCCCCAAGACAGCAACGCACGGGGAGGTGTCCAGAGCTTGTACCTCTGAACATGAAATCTGGTGCTTACGTGTTGCACTCCTGTACAATTCGGCCAATGCCACCTATGGAATCTCACACTTTACGTGTACAAAAAGCTGCAAGTTTTCTGGCTGACAGGCAAAGCTTCTCACGAGCCGGCTACACAATAGGAGAAGGCATAATTAAAAAACAATCTGGATGTGAAAATCTAGCCTCGCAAAGAGGCCAGTCAAAACTAGGCTCTTCAACAACTGGTCTCGGCATGATCATGGAACCGTGTCCGCAGAGCAATTCGAAGTCTATCTCGGTTGAAATTAAATTGAACCTTCGCTATGTGGGCAACCTCGAAAGGATGGTGCTACTTGTGCCACTCGTGCCATGACCCCACCAATTTAAAGAGCTTTTCGATGCAGCGGCCATCAGTCGAGAAAGCCCATGGTGCCTTGGCGATGCATTGAAGCAATTAGCTTCTCGTGTTTCTTATGCTGACTCACAGCTTAGCAGGGCGCTGATGTATCGTTAACCAACACGTCGGGCATTTATCCCTACGCTGCGACAGCTTTAGTGCTGAGTGGTACGAGGTCGGGTTCCAGACAGAATGCCTACGTTTTATCCTGATACGCATGCGCCGAAACCAATAACATGTGGGCGGGATTTACGTTGACACAACATTGACCCATCTGTCTACGATCAATCTATCTGTCTGCAACGACCAATATAATCTGAACATTTATGTGGACACATACATTACATGACAGCACACGACATTACAATACGATACATTATTGTTTGATTACCTTGCATTACATTACATTGTACACGCACATAAGTACATGGATGCATGCATACAGACGGACAGACAGAGAGACAGACAGACAGACAAACAAACAGGCAGACATGCATACCTACATACATACCTACATACATACATTTTTGGCACTCGCACTCGTCGACGCAGGCGAGGTATGTGGGAAACCAGAGTAGAAACAGGGGCCTGAGGACGTATGCACTCAGCCGACAAGGACTGGTAGACATACGTTACATACATACATACATACATACATACATACATACATACATACATAAAATACATACATACGCATATACATATATATATATACACACACGCATGAGTGTATGTGTATACACACACATATAACATATTATAATAAAATCGAGTATGATAAAATATACTAAAATATAGTATATTACAAGACAATAATATATTTGTATTTTATATCATATCATATCACATTTATATTATATTATATTGTATTATATTATTGTTGTATTATGTTAAAATTTTTCGTATTTGAATAAGTTATTGTATTGTACTTTATTATATGATATTATAAAATTTTGCTATATAATATTATATTTGTAATATATTATATTATACTACATTATATTATATTATATTATACTAGACTATATGTGTGTTATGTTGCAGTACATTGCATTACATCACATTAAATCTTATATTATACTATACTATTTTATGTTAATTATGTTATATTATCTTATAATATATATATATGTGTGTGTGT